GATTTGCAAAGGTTGGAAGTCCACAGATGATGTAAAGTACTTAGCACAGTACAAAGATGAATATCGGCTTATGAATATCGTAACATAGTGATGAAGATGAAAAATGACTGCTGATATAACTTTTAAGGCGTGTGCACTTTATTTTTTTTTTTCATTCCAAGCGTTAAGTAATTTTTCTATAATTACCCCATCTTCATTGTTCCCCTTCGACAAGAGTCTATATTCTTTATTTTCATTCTATTATATTTTAAATTGATACCGGTGAATGTGCTAATTAAAAGTATTAATGTGTTTTTAAAATCCTTTTAATTTTAAAAAGTAATAAATATGTATTTGGAACCCTATTTGTTTCTCATTATTACTCATCATACTTAATGATAAAGAGAGGGATGTGAGAGAGTATTAGAAAAACTGTTTAAATAATTGATATTGGCTTTTAACGAATTAAAATTAATAAATTAAATTTAATTTAAAATAATTGACATAAATCTTAAATTTATATGGAATGAAAAGCTCTAATTTTTTTGATTATTTAACAAAACCTTAAATTTTTTTGTTGCTTCACTTTGACATCGTCCAGGACAAATACGTCCCAAATGGAAAGTCAACAAATGTTGCTCACATTCGTAATGAAAAATCACAAAACTTCCAACCAACAGTCGCACACTATTGTTTCACATTTTATTACAATCACTTGTCAAAGAGATACCGACAGGGCATGCGGGACACAAAACTTCTTCATGGAAGATCCCATGAGGTCAAAGTTTTTACTAGAATACAATTTTTAACAATTTCACTAAAACAAAAAGTTTCTCACATAACAAATAAAAAATTTCTGTATTTGTAACTGAGAGGAGTCCTGAAAGCATATCACAGCAATAAAGAAATTAACTTAACTATATAGAAGGCACTGAATGAAATAAGAAGAAGTGATTGATGGCAACTAGTCGTAGTTATTTGAAAGGATTTTAGTAGTGTTGAAAGGCTTCTACGCTTGTAAGTAGGATGGTTTGCTTTAAAAATGTAGTCTGTAAATAATTTTATTAATAACCCTAAAACTGAAATAAAATCTCATTCACATTTTTATATCTTTTAAGAAGTAAAGTATAAAAAATATGGCTTATTTAGGTACTGAAGTAAGGATTAACTTTGAGGTTGACATTTTATACTTTATTTGTGTTTGTATCCTGCCTGCTAAATAAGTATCTTTAAAATAAACCGAGTTAAAGGAGTCAATATGTATTCGAAGTTACATTTTAATCAGTCCTTTTCACAGGAACTCATTTTCAACTAAGTTTTCAGTGCAAATATGTGAGTAAAATGAAAGGAAAATAGAATTGGCAACAAAGATAAATATAATAAAAAATTAAATGAAAAAATATAATAAAAAGTTGAAAAAAAAGTCGAACTGAGGAAAAATAAATATTTTTACACCGTTTTTAACAATTTTAGTTGTTCTTCAATTCCTGCGAATATTGCGACAAAAAAAAAATAAAACAATCAAAAGCTGTGTAAATAATAAAATTAAAACAAAACTCATAAAAACTTGAATGAATGACAAATTTAAAACAAAAAAAAAACAATTTTAAAACAAATCAAAAGTTAAACAAATTTTTTTAAACTTGTTTTTCCCCTTTTTTAAAATTTTTTCAGGATTTTTTTTTCTGTTTTATAATTTTCATCGAACATTTCCCTCAAATAAAAACATGTTACATATTTTCATTTTTAATCTACCATGAATTCGACATTATTTGGAACATTTCCACAACAGATGTTCCAAATGCATGCGAACATTTCATATTTCCATTACTTTTTCAGTTTTAAATGAATTCCCTATTATCCTTTTGATGCGAACATTTCCAAAACAGATTTACATTTTCGATCTCCATTCAGTCATACTTCAGTGGATTTGTAAAATTTGCGGTTGCAAAGTGGGAACAATCCACTAATGTAAGAGTACACATAGGGCAAAATATACATTGAATGGAAGTGACCCATTTCAAATATGCAATACCTAATATTTTATCCGTTCAGCTACATAAATAAGCAGAAAAATTACTCAGAAGCACAATCCACAGAAGTGAACGATTCAAAATTTCTGATGAATTTTAAGTAGCTTTTGTGATTTTAAATCTAAATTTAAAAAATATATTATGTTAACTGTTATTAACTTAGCTTGATATATAATTGTATATATACATATATTTATACATCTTTTAATAATTTAAAGTATTAATGTGTAATGTATTTATACAACCATTAGTTCAAGATGAAGACTTTAAAAGAATACATAGTTATCTAATCCATAAATTATATTACAAATAAGAGTTTCAGTTGTCTTTCCTAATTAACACCGCCAGGTCAATGTTTTGACTGCCAACAATAGCCCCTTCTGTGTAGAACGGAGTTGAGGTTGTTGGTGTATTACCTGATGGGATATTTTAATCTGCGTTGGCATCTTAACAAGATAGATTTGTTCTAGGTAACAAAATATCATCTCTCACTCGAAATAGGTCATCTATGTGATATCTATGCGTATCCTTTATCACTTTCTCGGTTCTCTATCTAATGTTGAGCCTTTTCCAAGTTAGTGCATCATCTCACTGACTAATTTGTGTCTTCCTCATACTTACTTACTTAGTTGACCATTACAGACGTGTGTCGTCCTTGGCCGCGTCGTGTAGCCTCCGCCAGTCAGCCCGATTAGTTGCCTTCTGACGCCAGTTGGTAGTACCGAGCGCCCCCAAATCGTTGGTCATCTGGTCCTTCCACCGAAGATGCGGACGTCCTCTACCGCGTTTTCGTTTCTTCCTCATAAGCTTCGTGATTATTCAATGACTGCTCTAAGATCTGCATACCGCTCCGTTCGGTTAGTGATTACTCTGAGATTAGATAGTGCTAAGTAGAGCAGTAACATTTGTTAGTTTTCGCATATAACTTCAGGGCTCTGTTCCTTATTAGATCTCTTAGCATTTCATTCGTGTGGATGTACCATGGTCTCAACTGTCTTTATTTTTATATCATCATAAAAAATATGATGGTCATACTAATCTATATAAAATTGGATTCCAAGACCCCAACTATTTATCAATCAACTGAATTAACTTCAGTAGTGTTGCTGAATACTTCATTTATTTTAAAGTTGATATAATGTAGCTCTCGAATGTCCTCATTATGATTCAATTTTATTTTGAGTATTACTTAGAGTATAATGAGTGGGTAAATGAAGGTTTTCTTATCCGGAAATTTTTTGATTTTCATTATATCCTTCTCATTATTAACTCCACTACTGTAGTAGTAGCACTGCTTACGTCTCAATAAGTGCCATTTCTTTCAATATTTATTAATGCATTTACTATTGAATATTTTTTCTAAATTCATATTCACTATTATTACAGAAAAATATGTGTCACAAAAATATTTATAACTTATTTAAGATTGAAAGAAATCACATTAAATGCGTCCACATTGTCAGTTTATGAAGACTTAAGCGAAATTATTCCATTTTAAATTGATTTTAGTATTCCTTTTCCCCGCACTCATATATACACTTACTCTTATACAAAAAGCTCTCCTTGACCCCATTTTACCTTGCTGATTAATGACATAAAAAGAATTTTTTCTCAGAATTCCTCATCATTAACTCAGTGATATGATATATACATTTTCATATTTCCTAACTTTTTTTTTATTAATCTTCATCGTTTTTTGCTTTGAATTCCTTTGTCATTCGCTTGACAGATACTAAATGATTCACGTTTCTTTAACGATAATTTTCAATTTATGGCAAAAAATACGCAACTTTGTTAGGTTAAAGTATTAAAGTATGTACCTTAAATATATACCGAAAAATTTATTCTTTATTCCTTTTCCAGCGATGGGAAGGATTTAAGTAGTGGTTGAACAAAAATATAAATGTCTTTAAAGTAATTGTCGAGCTGAAGTCGAATACTGAGTACTAGCAGGCGCATAAAATATCGGCAGACGTTAGCCCATCCACCATATAACTGGGTGTACGTGAATGTACAGGAACTTTAAACACTAACTACTCATGTCTTATTTTCGTAAAATATATTTGTAGGTAACTTATTTTATGAGCTGAACCCTTTTCAAAATTTAAGTTATTTTAATCATTACAGACTTTTTTCCAAATAAAAAAAGACCTTTTCTAAAAAGACCTAGTTGAGGATATTTTTTGTGTCATGAGTTCAGTTCTACTTCATCCGACAACCACACACAGAATATCCGATGTCATAATAATAAAATATAAGTACTCATACTCAGTCTAACTTAGTGATTATGAGGTTTCTGTACACTCTACATACATGAGTACTGAATAGCTTCCAGTAATCATACTTCACGACATATGCAAAGTCATGCAATTAAATTAAGTATCGTAATACACTTTTGTTTCAATTTCTGAAATTATATGTCCTTATGTACTCAAAATTGCTCCAGAGCTGCAAAACTGTTTTCCCTCAATTTGAGACGTATTTGAAAGTTTAATCTGCCATAATGTCAGATAGGCAGAAATAGAAATATTTCGACTGTCTGACGAAAATAACACCCGCATGAGTATGTCTCTAACCAGCCAACCAACTATTTAACCAAGCCATCGAGTAATCAAAACAGTAATAATATTTTTCATAAAAACAATTTGCAGAAACACATTTACGAGTTTATAAGGACGATAGTCCTTTTGCATATTCTTATATTATTTGCCTGCGCTACAGCCTCGACTCCAGATCCGCCTGCAATTGAAATCATTTTCATTTTTGCTCTTTTGAAGTGAAAATGAGTTTTTTTCCAGCACATTTGTGTCCTTGTTCCTTTCTAAATGCCTCAGGCAAGAAATGTAATTAACAATTAGTTGGCAAATTTTGTGTTTTAGTATTTATTTCCCTCTACTCTTCTGGTTCTGCTTTTGTTTACACGTTTATTTTTCATTCAATTTCTAACATTTTCTCATTAATGTTTTTTATGAATATTTTTAATTACAGAACTCGGCAGAGCCCGTTTACACACCCACAATGGCCGGTGGTCTCTTCACAATTGACCGTAAATTCTTCGAATTGCTGGGTACTTATGATTCCGGTTTCGATATTTGGGGTGGCGAAAATTTGGAATTGTCTTTTAAGACTTGGATGTGTGGTGGTACGTTGGAAATTGTTCCTTGCTCACATGTGGGACACATCTTCAGAAAAAGATCACCCTATAAGGTAAGCATATAGTTAAATCATTAACTGCCTATACCTTTATTGAATAGTTAATAGTTTCGAATATATATATATATAAATATAAATTTATATATATATCGAGAATATATATTTATTTACAAATATATTAAGAATATAACAATTATAGTAAAAATTAAATTATTTGGAGGTCTTAACACATCATTTAATAAGAACAATATTAAAAATGTTAGAAAATAAATAATAATATTATTAGAAAGTTATATATTTATTTATAATATATAATTTCCAAATATACAATATTTATGTGAAATAATATATGAATTGTAGGAGAATATATTTTTGAATTTAATTAAATAATATATTGTTAATAGTCAGCATATCTATTAGTAATACATTCAGTCTAAAAAAAATAGTATAGAATAGAAATAAATAGGTTATCAACACGGGTATAGTGCTAGGTCTTTAGTGCTACAAATCGATCCTAACGAAACAAAAAGCATAAAGTGCTAAGAATGAAGGTTTAAATAGAACCTGCTGTGAATTTATTAATATCAGAAGAAAATAGGGTTCAGAGTAAAATCGGACAATCACAAAGAATGTAGCTAAGTGTCTTCTCTGACTCAAAGGAGAGTCGAAATTTTATTTCATTAGACAAGCAAACGGATACCTGTCAATATTCTCATATCTGTTTTACTTTATTAAGGAGAGCGACGTTATCGTAGTTATAGGAACAACCCAATTTTTAGGTTGTCGGTTACTAGAATTGTTGAACTTAAGTGAAATTGCATTTATTCACACTTCACTTCTTTGTTGAAAATTTAGCTAAATCAGCCATTTGGTTGTATTTATTTTAAAAGGAAGGTTTTTTTCTACTTCTAATTGATTATATATCAGATTAGGTTGAGTTTACTGTGACATTCGGTATTGTTAACTTAAATCAAGTTAGCTAAAATTGATCTCTACCTTTCTATATGTCTATACAAAGTGGACAATTTGAAATATGATTCAAGTTATTCACAAATGTGATCTTTATGGTAATAAACTAATCACTATTAAGGACAGGTATTCAGATAAAAACATTACGTCTTCAGCTATTTTTTAACCACTAGAAAAATAAAACTATTTCTATTCAGAAATAAGGCGTTTATGCTGTTGTTCACTGTAATATATGCAGCAGTGGTAGCAATAGCGTACCGTACTGTAATGTGGTGTTATAGAACCCATACGATTCAAAAGTATTCTAGTAGGTTAGTAAGTAAAAGGGTAGTAGGATATATGCAACTAAATAGTTCGCATATTTCCTTCAATCATAGTTCTATTCTGTATTAAATTTTATTTATTTCAACAGAGAAGGTCTTAGCCTTCTTAGTCTTTTTCACTTACAAATAGTTGTTTCATAAAAAGGTATTACATTTAAAATATCTGAACTTAGTTTTACTAAATAACATTTCAAGTTAAATAGCATAATGCCTAAAATTATAAAAATAGTTGTGATTCTTAACAAAATTTAATAGAAACATTTAAAAATAATTCGATTGTTTCATTAAGATGTGAACTTTATTATAATACCGATATGTTTCGCAATCAGCTTTTATAGTGTAAAGCACTTGTAGCCATTTTAAAGTAACATGTGGACTTAAAATTTACATTCATATTTCACAGCCAACTAATTTTGTCGGAATTTGCATCTCAAATGCCATGACAGTATGCTTAAAATGATACTGCATAAATAAGATAAGAGGCACAGATTTTAATACCTCATGTTATCAGCTTTGTACTCCAGTGCAAACAATGCTCACATGCATAAACCACTTAAACGAGAAATCCTTTAACATGTCAGAGAAACAGAAAAAAGGTCCGATTTCCCATGCAGCATGTTCTACAAACATAACCCAACTGGTCCCACTACACTTTCGTCCAACTTTGTTTCAAAACACTGAAGGTACATGCCAGCTCATTTCTCCAATCTTGTATCTTGTTTTTTTTCCATGCAAATACAAAACGTTTCCATGGCACAGATACCCAAAGGCTTTGCTAATGTTTTGGTAATTAACTTTATTGTTGCCATGGCCGACAGAGAGAGAACAGGACAAAGCGAGTGAGCTGCCCAGAAAGGACTACACTTATGTATTGTTGCATTATAAATTTAAAAATATATAAATTTATATACACTTTTTTTTTTCAAATTGCTGGCCTCTAGTGCGTAGACTGTATGGTGTATTTATGGAACATGTACCCATGTACCCTGTACATATATAAAAGGATGTAACTTGAAGGCAGAAAATATAGTGTTTGTTGGTTCTCATAGAGTGGAAATACGTTTGTCAAGACAAGTGACGTTGTGAAAGATAATTACTGTTCTTGTCTATGAAATAACATTGTTCGATATATTATATACGTTTTTAGTATCAACTATCACATGTTGCTCATATGACAAGACACGCTACAATGATAGTATTGGTATACTTCATTCATGACATAGTTGGCGTAATGTAGTATCTACTCGTAGAAGTTTTTTCTCTAATTTGAAGCTTAATACTTTGTATTTTAATTGCTTACTTATAATTGTGTATATATATAAACCTTTAATAGTCTTAAAAACCGACTGTATATATTTTTTTTACATAAACTTACTCCTGCTCCATTTAACGCCTTATTTTTAACACTCTATTTGCAGTGGCGCTCAGGTGTAAACGTGCTGAAAAAGAATTCCGTGCGCTTGGCTGAAGTTTGGTTGGACGACTATGCGAAATACTACTATCAACGAATCGGCAATGACAAGGGTGACTTCGGTGATGTCAGTGCGAGAAAGGAATTAAGGTAAATTCTCACTCGCATATCCGTTTTTATGTGCCATGGTGTCTTAGCATTAAGCCAGCAATGTACACTTTTACGGTATTTATATACGAAATGAAGTGATTTGTGTCCATTTAGTGTGAAATTGACAGACAGAAGGACTAACGAATATTGTAATGTATGTAACAATATTGACTGGTAGTCAAGGATTGAATTCACTGAGCTCATCTGCCAACTTAAACCATAATTGATGGCAAAAATCGTTAAAGAACACAATACAGACAGCAATTCCGTTGCGTCGGAATGGTACATTCATAAGAAATGTTTTAATCTTCCATAATAAGATTGGAGCTTACACAATGCCGGTATTCATATTGCCCGAATATATAATATTTATAAAGAATTTATAAAGAAATAAAATCTGAGGGAAATATGGGTATTAAATCTTCAAAATTTGTCTATTACAAGATAGAAAGCCTTTTTGTTGCTACTTGAGAAGGATGGTATAAGAATTAAACTGTTTTAAACTGTAGATATTTTAATATTATTTACCTGAAGTTGTTTTTTGAGTAACAGAGTTTTTTCGTTTTTTTGGATCAATTTTATTACATATTATTACACTTATTTGAAATTAATCGGAAGGATCCTATATATAAATTATTAATATCTGGATAAGAACAACAACTATACCAAACATATATAGCAAAATTCATTAAAAAATTCTTTTCACATCATGTGAGATCAACCCTAATCGAAAATAATGTAGATATTATTAACCATGTTATAATATTATTACAAATGTTATTCTAATAGTCTGGAAGAGGTTAGAGGCTTACCATGTAAGAATATACTTGTTCGATCTTCATCAATAATTTTGTCAATATCTTTAATGTACTTGTATCATTCCAATTATCATTTATTTTGATAATAAAAACTTTTATTCATCAGTTTTTCTTTGTGATGTCACAATCTTCAAATAATGGTGACTTGAAGCTCTCCTAAACTTATTGTATTAATCGAAAGTCTACTTTTTTAAAATCGATATTGAGCTAATTATTTCGATTTATTACAATAAACCAAACGTGAATTATTATCATGTTAACTTTATTATATACTTAAATCCATTACGTTTGATCAACACCAAATAGGTGTACTGATTTATCTCATTGAATACATTTGCAACCTGCAACCCTGAAGCTTAATTGTAATATTTATATACATATATACGAGTTGTAATAGCAGTTGTAATACAACTAATACTTAATATCCCAAATATCCTAAAAATTACCCTAAAAATTATTTATATTACAGAACCCGCTTAGGTTGTAAGAACTTCAAATGGTACTTGGATACAATATATCCAGAACTTTTCATACCAGGTGAATCTGTAGCATATGGAGAGGTAAGTCCAATATATATATTATCTTTATATATCAATATTAATACCTAATGTACAAATGAAAACATAAACATCAAAATTATTTTATTTGATAAATAAATTTCGAAAAACTAACAACAAAATCCAAATATAAATTTTTGGCAAATTTAGATAAGAAATTTAGGTTACGGCGGTCGCACTTGTTTGGATTCACCTGCGCGTAAAAAGGATCTGAAGAAGCCAGTCGGTCTATATCCATGCCATAATCAAGGCGGCAATCAGGTTTGTTATACATAAGAGTAAATCATGCAAGAGCTTTTTTTTATTGCGACCGCCACAAAATCCGTTAAATACGCTTTGAAATTTTTTACAAATTTTTACAAATTTCGTTTACAAAAGAAGGGAATTACCGTACCGTACTACGCCTAAGACTAAATTGAAAATTACTACAACTGCAAGATAATTCATTTTCTATCTTTAACAAACTCTTTTCTCTTCTATACGTTGAGCACTACTTTCAATTCGCACTTTTACAGATTGCAAATATTATTACAAATATGTGTCTCGATTCGGCCGCCAAGCTGGAACACATGCAAGCGGCCGTTGAACCATTTGAGTGTCACGGTCAAGGAGGAAATCAGGTATACTTTTAAGTGTTTCTTTTATCATTTCGTATACTATAAGTTTTTTATATCCTTAATGTATTCAATTCGTTTTGCGCCGTATAGCAATTAATTAGTTTTTAATTGAATTATTATTTGTCACGTATGATTTTGGTATTGAGGCCCACCACCACCACACCACCCATACCGCCATCCATACCCATACCACCCACCTCCATTATATGGTTTGGTTTGATATCAAAAAGTAATTATTTTGTATTTTATTTAATTTTGTACAATTGCTCTTGTTCTTATCGCATTTCAAGTAAAACGCACACACTCACAAATATATACACCATTACTATACATTCAAACATATTAAACACGCTTTTGATAAATTTTGTGCTGTGACGAAAAGTTGCAATTTCACTGCGTTAAGTAATCGCTTTCCAGCTGCGTCTCACCTTAATTTGTTTTGTGCCCAAATACTTTCATTTACGATTTACCTATTTTCAGAAATCATGTAATAATAAAATCTCTATGGAGAGTAGTTATTTCTACTACTCACTATGTATATATAAATAAAAGTAATCGGTTTATAACGGTGATCTGAATTCACTTAAGACAAGCGTTTTATAATTCTATTTTTACTAGAGAGCAATTTGAAGTGAAACTAATGTAAATTGATCATGTTAAGCTTTTGTACTATAGTGGTTAACAGCCAATTCTCCAGTTCAAAAGATGGATATACGTATGTATCCTGCTAACAAACATATACCACTGATGTACTGTCACTGACTTTAAATAATGATACAAAAACAGAAAAAAAGGCCAAAACGACTGCTACGTACTTCTTTTCTTTCAAACGGTTATGTGGCCTAAGAATCTTTGGGAATCTAAAGTCAAGTATAGTGTAAAAATAGTTGTGTTATACAGTTATAGAGATTATTATTAGTTTTACAAATTTTTTGGCTTGAATAACCATCTGATACAGACCATACTTTGATGCTTAAATCGAAAAAAAAACAGAATGTCGTTTCTTGGAATAACATTTTCTTCTCTTTTCTATGACAGTTTGTCTTTGGTCTAGGCCAGGAGCAGATGGGCTGGATGTTCTGATACCCATCTAATACTAGAATGTAGTCAATAACTGACATTTCAGCTTTCATTTGAAGGGTCGGCAGTAAACCAAACACATAACTTTAAGAGGTTCCTTGGATTTTCTAATGAGGCGTTTATATGCGCATTAACTTGATACGTGTGTTTTTTATAGCATTATGGCCTTAAGCCTTCAAGGCAGGTACCCACGCTAAACAATACTGGATACCTCGTGTATATTCTCAACAACATATTCAACTCGTTGCATTTTCAACAATTATTTAGTATTAGACTAATTATTCTATTCAATATTATATATGAATTTTTAGAGTAGTTTCTAGATGTATGAAAATTGCTTTTAACACGTTAACATTTACTACATCTACGTCTAAATCGCATATTTAATAAAAAATACTATTCTGATTTCAGAAATAATGTGTTTGTTGCTATAATTTTGAAGTCTATGCAATTTTTTAAGCTAAGGAAAGCAAGGAATAATATTAAACAGTGAAAGAGAAGATATATTTTTAAACCTATCTCTTGAACATTAATGAATATGATCTTCAAAATGAATATGATAATAATAATTAATAATAGCTTGTTTGGATAATTACCTTTAATAATTTTAATTAACTTTAATTAACTTTTGCAACTTATTATTATACTTATTATTATTAACACACAAATTCCATTTAAAAGTGGTTACTTTCTCAGCCATTAGACTTTAATAAATAATTATTTATTAATATCTTTTATATTTATTGCAAAAATATATTCCAATTACTTAGTTAATTTAAGAAGATCAGTCAGATCCAGAGAATAATATACAATTGGGTACTCAAATAGCCACCATGACAAATTTCTACAGCACTAATCTTCTCACAACCCCTCGCTCCCGCTATTTAATATGTTTACTCATTGCAATCCTTTTGAACAAGTACTACAGCAATTAAAACAAGTCAACCCTTGTATTAACAAGACAGGACCAAAAATAATATAAAAATAAATAAAACAGAATAACCCTTTTAAGTGTAACACAAAATGTTGACAATCCTTTGAACAGTCCCCTTCTCCTATTAATTTTATTTATTTTTAATTACTTTTTTAATACATAATTTGTTCCTACGCAATAATTTTTGTTAATATTATTAATTATGAGTATGTGTAACATTTTTTTAAAAACAACAATGCATGTCCTCCATTTTGGCAGTTGGGTACACCATTTTACAGCAAAAATCTACAGCAACAATAACAGTCCATGTACACCCCTAATAAAATTAATTGAGCTATCAGAAGAGACATCGACAAATCTTGTATGTTTAAAACAATTTGTATTTAGTCGCTTGACATTAATAATTTTGGTAAAAAAATTGAAAATAAATTCTTTGTAAAACACCCACGTATAACCAATTTAATAATACAAAAAATATCGATAATAATTAATTAAAATGAAATATTTACATAAATCGCACGATAACATAGCATAACAAATTGATCCCAATTATTTTTGGTTTTAAAGACTAATAAACGGAGTTTGTGGCTTAAGCTTATCACTGACCTTAAGTATGTATTATATATTTGTAAAACTATAAATATTTATTTAAATAATTCTTTTATTTTATTATATCTCATATTGAATGTACAAAAAGCATTATAAACCATCACTATTTGTTGTATCATATTTGTTTGTTGTATGCAGTGGACAAAAAGTAAGTGATGGATTAGCCGTTTACACATAGTAATTGTTTGAGTTTATTGGTTTATCAGGTACAGTGTTTAAACCTACAAAAAGTGGAGTATATTTGTTATTTGATTATTTTATTATTTATTTTTATATGTACAATGCAGATAATACGTATAGAAAACGATCATTGAATGGTGTTCTGGAAATATATTCTTCAATTAAAAATCTAAATTATGTAGTTGTTATATTTGTCATATTACCAATTTAGTATTTGACAGTGGTGTTGTCAAGTTAAGTGCCGCAGGGGATGGCGTTTACTGGAAGGTATTTTTTTTTGTATTTATATTGTCACGATGAGATCGATTCTCTAATTCTCTCTGGGATACGCCACAAATATTCGATATTTATTAAATATTGTTTTAGTGTATCTATCTCTGTACTTGGATTACAGTTCCCAACAGAAACGATGTATCTATGATTAAGCGCAATATAGCACTATTTTATATATCCATACCACACTAAGCCTTTGAAGAGTAGCTCTACATAAGTTCTTAGTTTATAATGTATATGGAAATATAATAATAGAGGTAAAAAGAATTCGTATTATTAGTAGTGATTCATTTGATTTGATTAGTTGGTCATTATAGACGCGAGTCATCCTTGAGCGCGTCGAGTAGCTTCCGCCAGTCAGCCCGATTAGTTGCTTTCTGGCGCCAGTATTAGTAGTATTAGACTATAATACCGGCCCTAGAAAGTGTGACTTCTCGACATGATTCTGTTAAATCGAACTTAGAAAAACTAAATAATAATTTCTTAATTCTAAATTTCTTAAACTAAATTTCTTAATTCTGATTACATTTAATGTAATAAAATAGACAAAATAAATAGAATTTTAGATAAAATAGAATTTTCGATCACATTAAGTCTTTTAATTTATGAAAATAATAATAGGGTGTGAGTTCTCATATTAAGGTTTGCTTTGAGAAGTATCTAAACTAATAGCAATAAATACAATTAACATCTGAGATATTTCGTTATCAAAATATGTCATATTTTTAAATGAAAACACCTACAATTAAAATATTTGTAGAATATGTCAAATTTTATTTAGAAAACACCAAAAATGGGTGAGTCAGTCGTGAAAGACATTGACTGTAATTGAAATCTCATGTTTTCGATTTTAATCGCCAGTTCAATGCAAAAATCAAGTTAGATACAATTTTATATTTATCTCAGAGTATGAATAAAACAATATTTTGTGTGATTAAAAATCAACAAGTAAGAAATAATAAAAAAAGTAAATATTATTGATCGATAATATTTGAGAAATATAATGATTAAGATAATGATAAGTTACACGTCTTACAAAACTTGCTGACCTATTACTTCGTCATTTACAGTGGGGCTTCCTTGACTATTCTTCATTTTGAACACTTGACTATTCTTCGACAATTAGGCACTTTGCCAAGTTTCTTATTAGACCTCGTATGATATTTTATAGTGTATTAGTCATCTTTCAAGTTTTTTATTTTAGAAAATAATTGCCTATAGGGGCTATAGCTTTCTGTGTGATCCGTTCCCGCTTAATGATATGTTCTTCAGATTAAAAAGATTTTTTTCTGAAGAGCACTTGACAATCACTTGAGTTTTATTCTATTCATGGAGACTTGGCGAATAATCATTCCAACAAGTTTTGAGTTCTATTTTCAGAAAAAGTAAATATAAACAATCAAAATTTGAAAATGTGACTATACCTATAGGCTAAAGTCTATAATGGTGCTAAAGTATAAGTGGAAGATAAAACCACCAGAAGTAGCATCAAATGTTATAAAATTCCAAAAATCCTTCACTGCAATCCATAAATAGTAAATTAAATTTGAAGGAATTCCCAAAACAACCAAAATAAATAAATACAATCATAAAGTTTTTCCTTCTCCTCTAACAAAAATTCAATAATTTAGAAATAATTTCATTTTCTTCAAAAAACGATAGAAAAAACAGCCACAGACATTTCCGAAAAACGATTATAATAAACCATAAAAAATAATCGAAATGGGGAAAAAGTTTGTTGCTCCTCTGCAACACAACAAAACACAACAGAACAGAACTGAAGAGAACACAACACAACCAAACAATAAAATTAAGTGCTAAAAAATGAAGAACAAATAACGAAATAATTAAATTCACATCACATGAGAGCAACCAACTCAAATGTGCTTATGAGAAACTCAGGCACGTCCTAAAATACAGGGTCATTAAGTATAGAACTTACTGTGTAATAACTCGTCGAAAATTGCAGTGTTAGCCATTAATCATTTCTCTTAGAACCCTTTTCCTCGTACACCCTACACACCATTTTGAATAAATGATATACTAAATGAATGAGAATTTCTTTTATTCAATGAACGGCTGTCAGAGTCTATACATAGTGTGATTATATATACACACATTAAGTCCAATCCATTTAAAGGTATCCATTTCTCTGTTCGACCATCAATTCGTATACAAACTGAGCTCCAAGTATGTGAGATTACTGAATAATACAATCAATACAGAGACTTTTTGCGAAACCAGATAAAACAAATCCAAGCAAAATGTATAACTCAATCAGAAGTAATGAGTTATACTATACAATTAATGTTGATGTATGAGATGGAAGTGCGGTTTCGACTGCTATTGAGTAATTAATACTGAGTAGTTAATTTTTCAGTTTCTGGACCTAGATTTCAAAACAGTTAAGTAGGCTCTATTGTTCATTCAATTTCTTCTTTTTCTTACAATACTACATTATGACATTTGCTTTATACAATATTTTGTTAGATATAAACAATAACGGCTATTATTGTGCAAGGTTTGAAATAGTTATCCGTTTTGCGAAACATTAATATAAATAGATCACCCTATTAAAGATTCAACTTCTCGAAATTAAATTCTTTCTCGGTTAAACGGTTATCGGTAACCAAATTAGTTAATGCAGTTCAAACAAAAGGTCTATAATTTTTATAGACTTTACTCTACTCTACTCTACTCTACTCTACTCTACTTTACTCTACTCTACTCTTTTCTACTCTACTCTACTCTTTTCTACTCTACTCTACTCTAATCTACTTTACTCTTTCTACTCTACTCTACTCTACTCTACTCTACTCTACTCTAGTCTACTCTACTCTACTCTAGTCTACTCTACTCTAGTCTACTCTAGTCTACTCTACTCTACTCTACTCTACTCTACTCTACTCTACTCTACTCTACTCTACTCTACTCTACTCTACTCTACTCTTACTCTACTCTACTCTACTCTACTCTACTCTACTCTACTCTACTCTACTCTACTCTACTCTACTCTACTCTACTCTACTCTACTCTACTCTACTCTACTCTACTCTACTCTACTCTACTCTACTCTACTCTACTCTACTCTACTCTACTCTACTCTACTCTACTCTACTCTACTCTACTCTACTCTACTCTACTCTACTCTACTCTATTCTATTCTGCTCTACTCTACTCTATTCTATTCTGCTCTACTCTACTTTCTTTTTTCTTCTCTTCCATTCACTTCTCTTCTCGCTTCTTCTCTTTTTTTTCTTTTCTCTTATTCTTTTTCCATTCCCTTCTCTTCTCTATCCACTTTCCGGTTATATATTTTGTATCTCAGTCTCTGTTTCATTTGTTTTAATGGACTATGATTAAAATTCTGTTGAAATTAAAATATTCATGACTGACTCTAGACTAACCAATAATAAATCGGCTACTTTCACTTACAAATCTCTTAATACAATTAAGTTCTTACTGCGTTCCTTTTGATGTTCCTACGACGCACCCTGTTTTGCCAATATTCTTTGGCCATTTGGTGTATCGTTCAACGGAAGAGGAAACAACATAACAAAATGATACAAAAAAGAAAAAAATAATAATATAATAATAAAAAAGAATTAAATCGTCGCTTTTTATTATATAGTATTTCTCATTTTAATTTCATTTTTTATTTATTTGCTTTTTGCTCTTATTTTAATTTTAATATGTGCATTTCTATAGAGAAGAACAAAATTTATTTACTTATTTCCATCCTTTTTTTATTCCACTCAACTCTGAAACAATTTTTATGCTGGTCCTGGTGATGACGTTACCATTACATAAACTCTCAACTGCACGAACGCTGTTATTTATTTATGGTTTTGCTGATGGTCGTGATGCTACTGTTGGTGCCTCCGATGGTGCATTCCATGGATACATTGCACACACACACACACACACACACACACTCGTGGACATGAATGTGAATTCCTTGCAATTGTTTCGTGATGCTTTCTTCTAACAGTATTGGATGCTAAGCAAAGCTGGTGAGATCCGCCGAGATGAAGCTTGTCTCGATTATGCCGGACTTGATGTTATACTGTATCCCTGCCATGGCTCCAAAGGAAATCAGGTAAGCAACATTATTAATGTACTTTTTTGTGCTAAAATAAAATCAGCAAATCGAAACGTGAAATACATTTGCTTGGAATGCAGTACACGATAAGTGTGCGTTGTCAGTTGTAGAGCTTGCAGCTTGCTGCTTGGGGCTTAGGGAACCTTCAGGGATTTCGGTTGCATTAAAGCACAGGGGATTACTTAAAAATATTGAATGTTCCTTTGGTGCAACTATGCGAAGTGCTTTTGGTTATGGATAGGTTGCCAAAAGAGAGTGCACTACACAAATACTCCAAGAAACCAGGAGCAAACAGCTTTAAATGCTGAAAGCATTTGCTCTAAAGGAAATTTGTTATTTTATATTTTGACTTTGATAAATTTGTGTTTTTCCAACTCAAAATACAATTGGCATTGAAGTTGCTTTAAAACATTTGCTAGTAATATTTCAAGCTTAAGATAAATTGGTATACTTTGAAATAACACAGAATGCCGAACACTGCAGATAATAAATAATGTTTTGTTTTAAAGGGTGCTACCAAAATGCACCCTTACGAAAGCACATTCTAAGATAATGTAACTATTAGTATGAATAAAGGAAATTTAATTTGATTTTGTCCAGAACATTATTCTTCAAACATTTTAATATTTATCAAAATATCACATTTCTAACGCTTTCAATGGTCATCATCCTGAGCCGGATCAATTTCTGGAATGTTGATGTCTCTCATAGCTTTATGTCAACTATAATTACAATAATTCATAACTTGCACTTCTTTTTTGACGTCTAATCTATGACAGAGTAGAAATATTTGTCAGTTATAGATCCTAAAAATCGATCTGATGACTTGATTTTCTAGTAGTTCAGACATTTTTATTTTAGAGAACCTACAACTCCTAATACGAGTATGCACTAAACTACATTTAGTAAAACATTTTGTAAGGATATACTCTTACTAACAGTTATCAGCATCATAGCATTATGTTACACCTCTTCATGAGCGTGGGTTTCTTCCAGAAACTTTATCCAAACAACTTTATGTGTAACTAGTCCATTGTATTATTAACACCTATAGCTTACAAATCGCTGTTCCGTCGTCAATTCACGGTACCCGAGAAGACCTCTCTTCTTCTCTAACGAATTAGCATGAAGAATGGGTCCAAATTGCTGTGGAACTAATATATTTCCATCTTGGATTTAGTTCTTTATATCATATTTAATAAATATTCACTAATATTTAGCCTTCACTAGCATTATACCGAAGATTCTTCGTAGCAAACATAGTCCTTGTAATAGTGCTCTATTTACTATGTATATGGTATAGGTCATATATATGGTAGTAGTGGCGGCCTTGTACTCCAGAAAGCCGACTTGAGCTCAAATGATAGCCCATTGTGGTACCACAGGAATGGCGTTGGTATGTACATAGATTTAGATCAGTATAGAATCAACACCGAAAAGAAGATAACGACGCCCCCATTAGGTAAAGGAAAATCAACCTGACAGTTCTATAAACTTGGTTAGGTCCCTTACATTACAAGATGACAGCTCAAAATGACAGAATGACAACTATGTATATGGATGACAGCTATATGGTTACAAAACCATCAATTCCTGAGTGGTTCCCTTGTCTTCCTAATAAAGTTGGAAAATGCTGATTTCATAAACAATTTTCAAGTTTATGATTACTAAACATAAACATAATATAAAATTAATATATAATATATATAAAGCATTTGAGCAAATACATTTCTGCAGCACTGCACCTGATTGAGCAACAGTCGGTGGCTACAGTTGTTAACAGAATTCGTCTATAACGTGAGTCGCCAGCTACTGTAGCTCCCGATTATGGCTTAATCGTGCGTTGGATATGATTATAAATTTTTTTTTTATTTCTAAATGATGACATTCATCAAGTATTTCTTTACACAATTTTTAATCCATATAATTCTCTTTTACAGTTCTGGTCCTATAACAGTGACAGCAAACAACTACGACATGGTTCTTCCGACAAATGCCTGACTATCAGCGAGAAGAAGGATAAGATACTGATGGAAGAATGCAATACAAGTCATCTGCGACAACAATGGCGTTTGGAGAACTATGATCCATCGAAATTGTGAGGCTACTTTTTTGCCAATGGCACAAATATGATAGCAATCGCAACCCGCAGACGCAGAAAATAGTAATAAAATCATAAGAAGGAAAAATTTTTTAAATAGTGCAATACGAATAGAACTAAAAATTAAATTTATAAAAAATTGATTTGATCACTCAAAATTTAGACAAAATTTTACTGGTGTAAATAGAAGTAATTTCCGTTTCCTGTTTGTGATGATATGATGATTTGACGATATGAGACGTGTTAAAACTTTAGTTCAAGATAATTTGAAGTCAAGAATTTAGTTAAATGATTAAATTTTTAAATGATTTAAAATGATTTCTTTTTTGAAAGCGACTGTTGTACAGTAGATTTAAGCACAAATTTTAGTTACGCCACAAATTTATATCAACAATAAATTAATTTGATAGAAATTAAATTATATTTGAATTAAATAAAATTAAAAAAAAAATTAAATATTATTAAATATACAATAAATCGATACAATGTATACACGCTTGTGTGTAGGTGAGCTTTGATGGCAGAGTCAATGCAAAATGTGAGCATTTAATTGATTTCTACAACTATAAGTCTTAGTTACTTAAAAATATTTTATATATAATTTAGTTAATAATTTATTTAATTGTAATTTATATTTAATTGTAATTTCTGTGACTTTATTTAACTTGTGCACATTTGTAAAAATTGACTTACTATATTTCATTATCTAAACTAGGGACAAAATGTTAAGATTTTCTCCTCAGCAAATAACGTCTAAGTTTTCGATTAAATTGTAAAAATGACTTTCCTATATATTTTGGACTTATGTATATATACATTATATATTTAATATTTATAAATAATTATGCTAAGAGGTTAGTGATAACTTAAGTCGCACATTCCAATTGCTTTATTTTAATTATTGATTTGCAAATTGAATGACTTTAATTTTCAATTTTCAACTTCCATGTTTTATGTCTTTAGCCTTCTTAGTCATTTAGTTTAATTTTATTTTAGTATTTGTTTTATTTATTTGTTGTTACTTTTTTGTATTCTAAGTTCAATATAATATTTAAATAATATAAATAATTAAACAAATCCACAATTAAATTTTAATTTAAAAAGTTTTTTTATTCTAAATTGCTTGAATCAACTCATACTTTACATATCATTTGTCGATAACAACTTATAATTGCAAAGATACTTCTCTTCTGGAGCTTAAATAGTTGAGAAAACTAAACTAAATTTAAAGCTCCAAAATACGTGACAGAAAATCCGCAACTCTCGAGCTTGCCTAGGATGAAGACCTCGCCACATAACTGAAAAATCCAATTCTTCAATAAGTACTTTTGAAAATTTATGGGATATTTTAGTCAGCCATAATATCGAATGATGAGCTTTAAACAGACATATGTAAGACTAACACATAATCTACATATGGCTCACTTCGTATTACATAGAATTTACCGAAGAGCAAATTGATGATATTGATGTATCTAAATGAACAACTGATCTTGATTATAAACGATACCCACTTGAGAATTTGTTGTATCCCGATTAGTGTTTCTACAAATATTATAGAGCCTATAAAATGGCGTAAATCTAAAATTGCTTACAAATGATTTTAGTAAATATGGGTGGGTCAAAGTGTAAAAACTGCAAGCAAGTTATTCAAAAATGGTAGTTCCAGCTAAAAATTTGTCAAAAAAAGAATTATTATTCTCATTCATTACAAGGATTCAGTGAGTCCATATTTTGGATACTTGACTGTTTTTTATAATAAAAAAAATTTGTAACAAGAGTGTAAGTCACGTACTAATTACTTAAGAAAGATAACAGAACTCAGTTATTACTGTGGTTTAGCCCAAACCGATAATGTTATTTATAGATCGATCCTTGGAAGAAGGAATAGGACTTGTTATGATAGGATATGATACATTATATAGGTGAATTAATCTTTTCCCTTAATCAGAAGATTATCTACAGATGTAACATGTTGTCATTAAATTTAATTCATTATTTAATTTTTTTTTTTTTTTTCTTAATACGCACAAAAATTATTTAACCTTAAGCATTTAAATTGCATATTCAAAATCAAAAACTACTCTTGAAACATATCTGGATTACAAATCGCACTACAACCTCTCCAAATTGAATTAGTTTTTCTGAATTAATTAACATTTTTTTTTTGAATATAAATTGGTTTTGATAACAGCAAACGAACATTCTTATTAGGCATTTTTTTGCACACATGGACAAAATGCCAAATTGTATTTAAAAATTAAATTAGCAAAAAAAAAAATGTTTTAATTAAATAAACGTAACATTGAAACGGTATTATATTAAAAATAAATTTATAAAAAAAAAATTTTAAATAAATTAGTAATAAATAATTGATATTGTGCCTTCAACTTTTTATGTCTGTAAATTACAAATGTGAATTGTAAAAAAGTAATAAATTATGACAACAAAAATTAAATATTCATTAATCTACAGCAAAAATCAAATAATATAAAATAATTGAAACAAAAAATAAAAAATTTAATATTAAATAAATTGTAACTAATAATTTATTTAAATTTAGAAATTTAACCAAGAATGAATGGCAGTTTTAATTTATAGAAAGAAATTTTGTTCCATAGATGTGTGTATATATATATACCATATATATGCATATAGATATGTGTAGCATTTACATATACACGTTTAGTTTAGATTGCAGTATTATTTATAGACATGCTATATATGTATATATATATATTAATGACACGTAAAAAATTAAACAAACAGATTTTACTACAAACTAAACAAAAGTCATATACTAAGCTCATTACATTTCCATCAATTATTTATATAAAGATATAAACTTTAATAAAAATATGAAAAACAATAAATATAAAGCAATTATTATAAAATTAGAATTTATAAAAAATATAAAACTTTAATATTAAATAATAAAAATATGTGCAGGAAGAGCATATGAGAATATAAGATTATTTAATTTTTATTTATTTAATTTTATACATAGTAAGGTTCATTGGTTTTCTATTTTACAAAAAACTTTAAAGTGTGTTAAATATAATTTTTAATTTTAACATTAAAATTGTTTATACAAATAAATTTTTTGTAAAACTCCTCCACAAGTTTTTGGTGCTGTTAAGTAGCACTTTAAAGCAATTAGCGGTCACTTTAGCTATAATAACTTAAAGCAGCTTGAAGCATTTTGTTCTTGAGTTATTTGTAAAATTCCTCCACCATTTTTTGATGTTGTTAAGTAGCAGTTAGTTGTCACTTTAGCTTCTAATTTGGTTTAAGCTCTTTGAGCTCTTCAATTTAAAGCATTTTGTTCTTGAGTTCAAACACAAAGATTTACCGTAAAATGCCTGAACATTATATGACATTCGAGTAATATTCTGTTGTACAAAAGAAAATAATATAAAATGTAGAGCAAATCAGGTAAAAGAGTAGCTTGAGTACTCGAGCTGCTCGAACTTCATAATATTCGAAAATTTTGAATTACCTCTTTCCATATATACATTTGAGATAAGTACCAATAACATACGTAAGTAAAATGAAGATGTTTGTATCAAAATATGATTACAATATATCTATAGACTCTTGTAAATAGTTATATAGGTATCTGCGGTTCTGTAGAGAATAAAAATATCATTTTTGTCTATTTTGATATTGTATTCTCTCTATATGCTTCCTATATTTTGTCGAAATAACAACGTGATGGAAATAAATATATATGTAATATAATTAAGATAAATTTTGGTTTAACTTTGAAGGAATGAATCTGTGGAATCTTAAAAGAAGATTCTTTATTTTAACATTAAAATTGTTATTACAGAAGTTGTTAAATTAAATTTAAATTTTTGTCAAATTATTCTTTAGTTTTTTGTAGTGCTATAAGGTGGCAATTTGACTATTACACTACATCTATTACACTGCATCAAATTTTTATTCACTACAAAATTTAAAAATAATACTTTTTTCCATAATAACATAAAAATACTAAGTTACTTATACTCTTCTCTGTTTTAAGTGCTGTTAGTCGACACTGTGGCTGTAGTTCAAGTGTTGCAATGAGCATGTCTGAACAAAGTTCATCACAGACTGCTAAATATTTAATTTTAACTAAATAAACTTAAATCGGTTTAAACGTATAGGGTTTTATTTTTATAAATTATTGGTTATTATTATTATTGGCTACTTTGTGATTATATTAAAATGAAAGTACATATATTATTTGAAGAAAAATATTTATAGAAGTGGAACGCCACTGTCTTTGTTGTTCCTGTAAATATTGTAAAATATGAAAATTAATAAATTTAGTATATTATGAAAAAATTTTAAATGCATATCCTTTGTATCCTTTGTACATAGAAGTTTACATATTTACAACAACAATAGCAATAACAATTACATATTAGCATACACTATACAATACAATTCAATACAATACAGTACACAATAAGGAAATCTTTATAAAATTTATATTAAATATACAACAGCAAAAAAATTAAGTACATTATTCAAAAACAAATAATTAGTAATTAAAAATTAAATAAAATTAATAATAATAATAATGATAAAATATTACTTAAAATAGTACCAACTTAGCATTTTATTGAAATGACTTTTGTTTACAAAATATTTATATTAAAAAATTAAAATTAAAATAAAAATAAAAATAAAAGCAAAAAAAATGTTACAAATTCGTATATTCGCATATGAAAATAATTTTGTAAGTTAATTATAATAGCAAAAACGATAATAAATTAAAATTTAATTTGTAAAAATAAACAAATGCAGCAGTACTTCATGTAATAAATTTGAAACAAAAATGTGTAAATTTTCAATAAAAAAAAGTTTTAAATATGAAAAATCGCTTTATTGCCTTTTTGCTTAATTTCATTGAAAGCTTCATTTCGCAAAATGACTAATTGATGGCAAAGTGTGGAGAGCAGTAGGGGTTTGAACATAAATATTTGATATATTACAATGGCAATTGAAGTCACTCTTTAGTTTCAGTTCAATTTTGCTGCATTTAATTAAATTAATTTACTCTTATGGATGCTAAGTATGACATTCTATGATAAACATTTGAACCACTTTGTATACACACAAACGTATAAATATATATATTTCGTTCATATAATAATTGTTATATGCTTATTAAAACCTATTATGCAGTAAATTGAAAAATGTCACTGATATATGTCGACTATTGGTCGACTATTTCGTTCATATAATAATTGTTATATGCTTATTAAAACCTATTATGCAGTAAATTGAAAAATGTCACTGATATATGTCGACTATTGGATAACTACTTGTACTGAATATACGATATAGTGGTAGTCCTTTTTAAGGTATTGCATGGGTCAGTGGCGTAACTACATTTTTTAGGCCTGTAAGCAAATTCTAACTAAGGGGCCCCTACCAACATACTAAGGGCCCCTCTTTTTATACTCTTTACACGAAAAAATGTGGAAAGGATATATAAGGTTTGTCAAGATTTTCGTAACGCATTAAAGGAAACGTCGGAAATACCATTAAGTATATATCTGTACAATATATATATACTTTTTTAGTTCAAACTACTCTCTCAGCTTTTGAATTCTTCGAATGAAACTTTACACACATACTTTTCGGGAGCCGACCCTTTTCACCATTTGATTTGATTGAAATTGGACGTCTATTTCTTGTAGCTGTGATATAAACTTAACAATCGGATATGAGGTTTCTCCGTTTTTAATAAAGGTATTCAAATGAAATTTGGTGTATACAGTACTAATATTTGCAAAAGACAACGTACAAAATTATTTTCAAATGGGTTTAAATCTAAATATAGCTTCCATATAAGTCTCTCGATTAAGACACATATTTTTCTTAGAAAAACTTTTTTATTTTATAAATAGGTTTAATATTTTATTTGAAGTACATACATATTATGTACTTTTACGTATCTTTTATAAAATGCAATATGAAGTTATTCCAACAAAACACGTTTCGTCCCTTTTGAGAATTTATTAAAAATAAATACAATGAATACAAAAATTTATAGTGGGGCCCGAAAGCGTTGCTTCCAGTTGCTTCCCTGTAGTTACGCCACTGGCATGGGTGTTGGAATAAGAAACATTGTTTAGGTTAGTCAGAGGTTTGTTAGTTTCTTGCTTATGTATGTACAAACATGTGATAATATATATATTACTTATAATAATATTTCTGTTACAATAATAATAATATATGCATTGGATCTGTCACTTAAGGCACCATCACCTTCATCTGGGTTAAAGAAATGTATAAGACCAGTTTAAGAAATACGGCAAGTAGAACAACAAAAATTCAAACAAAAATCGGTAAATCATTATATTGAGACCAGATGCAACTTGTATCTTAAAAGCAAATGAAAGGACTTGAACTTGGATTTTAAAAATAAGAGAATGTACCGATTATTAATCTTAGGTGTCTGTTGTTAATAGTTGATCAATTGATCAATGGTGCTTTTTTTGATTGCATATCTAATCAATATATATTTTTGTTTTGTTATCAAATCAATTATATTAAGAAAACAATTGTAAAACCATATATGACCCAATGTTCCCCTGAGAACGTAATGGAATGAAGAAGAAGATTGTGAAACCATTGAGATCAGTGAAAGATCTTACACTTCCAATGCAAGTGCAGCAATGAAGATACAAAATTCTCCAAAATGCTAAGCGTACAGTTTGATATAATATTAATAATAGCGTTTATAATAATGTTTATAATAATGTTTATAATGATAATGTTTAATAGCGTGAGTATCGCTGAGGGGAAGAAGTTTATTTTATTTTATTGTTGAGTGGAATGTATTATAATGTGTTTCCATATTTTGTTAACTGTATGATGTTTTTGTTTATTTTTTGTGGATATAGGGTGATGATAAGAGATGTAGTCGTTATTTTGTAAGTTTATATAGAAGTCGATGTGTCTAATGGGATTGTTACGGGATTTGTTGTCTCAAGATATATTATTTGATTTAATGTTATGACAGAATAAGTTTTTGTTAAGTAAGAATAGATAATTTTTCAATTAAGTTGTATATTTACAAATTAACCTTCAGTAGTTGTCATTTTAATATATTAATATTTTATGACAGTTTTTATAGCTGGAATCTTTGGATAGGGTAGTGTACAAAAAGTAAAAAAAGTAAAAAAATTAAAAATTAAAAATTAATGTACCTATAGTTTTTCTATACAATATTTTTGTTGGTTTTGAGATGTTGATGTAGTTTTTGTATTTGCTAATTTTTTAGTTGTTAAGCATAACTGATTAAATATGCATGGTGTCGCGAGTGCGGTGGATAAATGTAAAAAACTTATATATATGTAAAAAACTATATATGGGAATGTGTATTGAGTGTATTAAGTATATATGTATAATACAGTGTTTAGTTTATAAGTTTGAGATGTAAGGAGTTAGCATGAATGTAAGTAGTATTTGAATTGTTTTATAATTATAAGTGGACAGAATCGTATATTACTTTAAACATGACTAAGAATGTATATTTTTCAATCCACTATGATGAGTCTGGGTAGTTCCCAGACGAAACGCGTCAGTGGAAACTATTAGAAAACTGTTTTCTGTTGGTTTTTTAACCAACACAAGAAATTGCTTTAAGCTTTTTTACTGACAAATTGACGGCTACAAGTTTATATATAGTGTACCAATAATTTTTATATTTATTTTTTATTACATAATTTATATATTATTATTATAACACATTTTTATTTTTTATATGTTATATTTAGGTTTTTAGTTTTTGCAGTTTTTTTAGTTTTTTAGTTTTATATATATATATGTATTTTTATTTAACACGTACGGTTTTTGTGTATATATTTATTTTGTGTTGGGGTAAATTATCCATCACAAATTTTTGTAGGGTTAAGTATTTATATTTATGTTTCAGTGACCATCATCACTGTGTCCGTTTGTTGCTATTTAGCGACATTCTGGAGGCTTGGTTGGATAACCTACTTGTTGGGTTATGTAAGCAAGGTAATGACAAATTTCCAATTGTATAAAGATGATTGGAGGTTTGAGCATTGATAGTAATACAAATTAAATCCGATTTTCTCTGTAAATAATAGTATTGCATTAACTTCACCAAGTCTGATATAATATGGACACCGAGATAATGTGAAATACCGAGCTCAAGCAAAACTGTGAAGCATATTATTTGCCAGTGTCCAGCATTGGTGAGACAATTGAAAAAATACTAGGCAATTCATTATTGATGAGTTCTGATGATGTCATGAAAACAACAGAATGGCCGGTATCTATGTTTAACGTGTTTAGATGTGCCCATGGAAAGAGTGGTAATGACCGAAATCTATAATTATTTATTTTGTGATGTATAAAACTACAACATTCCCTTACTACGATATAAAATTTAAAGTGTTGGAATAATTAAAACTCCACAAATATATAGCAACAAGCAAAGAACGTATTAAGGTCTTTGCAAAGAGCGTGACACATATTTGAGGTTTATTAGTAAATCGTAAGAATACGTGATTTATAAATTTTGAATGAAAAAAGTTTTACATTTTGCAAAGACTTTCAAATATGAACAACTAATCAAAGTTTGAACATCATTAAGGATAGAAATTAAACAGTTTTATGTTGCCTGTAATTAATTCAAAGCATTTTGATAAAAACTGTTTTTCTTGCTAATTAATCAATTTATATTTATATTAATTAATTTTATATTTATATTATATGTGCATTCAATGAGAATTTTGAAGCAGAGATTGTGTATAGATATATATATTCCAAGAATTATGTTATTTTGTTAAAATGTAGGCTTACATACACTTAACACAGATGCAGCTCATTAAAATATTCCGTTTATAGTATAGCTTGATATACAAAATAATATATATTGTAAGCTTGAAATGTTGTGAATTAATTTTTTACGACAAGAAGTGTTGAAACGTTCATTTCGCAACGTATATCACGCGTTAATATTTGTGGACTATTTGAACCAATTCAACAGTAAGTGAATTGCCGCAACAATTTGAGAGTGACTGTAGTTAAAAGCATAAATACTCTTACAGTGATGGCATTGACTATTGTTACAAGTTTTAAATAAAAGGCAACTTGATTGTATATTAAAATAATCATGAAGACATCAAATCTTTCGAATCTTAAGCTTCTTCTTTAAGTGGATGCGGAACTAGAGATATTTCTCAACTGATTTTACTGATATTACTAGTATGAACGAAAGTGATTGTTGTTTTTATGCATAATCTTCAGATATATAATGGCAAGGAAAATCCTTCAACCTTGTAAATAATGATTGCTTAATTCTTTTCAAAGAACCATCATCTTTCCGCAGAACATCCACTAACCAAACTGAAAAAATATGTAGAAACATCCTATATAGATTGCTTGCGAAGTCATGGGCCGAAGATAAATGCAAACGGCTTAGTCAAACAAATAATATAAGCATTGACAGATGTCACGGCCTAAATAGATCTCAACTTAGTTTAACCTGTTTCTTACGTTAACATTAAGAAAAAGTATTTACTCTAGAACTTGTATTAGGTAGTCGTAATAAGGTCTAACGGGTGCCTCTTAGAACTTTCATTGGCTGAATATGAAAAAATTTATTCGATATGTATTCCTAACTTCTGATTACAAAAATTGAAGGGTTGACATCACACAGAGGTAACCTTCCTCACCGTTTCACTGCTGCTTGATAAGACATAGAGTCAATTTCACAGTCAATTTTAGGTTTAAAATCTGACTTAAGTATGAATTAATTCAGCAAACGTAATGACATAAGCATGACTTAATTTAGCATTGAGACTTTAAATATGATTATGATATTGACCGTTGATATGACAGAAAGATATCAGATATCAGTTCAAAAATTCAACTATTGACGCAGGCAATTTGAAATTTCCGTAGTAATATTTCTTTTTTTTTCTCTCACACTAATTCAACTAAGAAAAAGTTTGAAGTTTTTTAAATATGTTTTATTAAAAATCCATTATCGTCCCCGTATTCCATTTTCACTTTACGTTAAACACCTGAGTTTTCTGTTATCCAAGAGCGCAAAGCACCGACATAAGTGTAAATTGCTGGCATTTTGGCACCACAACCAAAACCCCAAGACACCAGCCCGAAAAGTTTTCCATCAACAGTCAATGGGCCACCTGAGTCACCTTGACAAGCACTAACTTGACCGCTTGGATGTCCAGCACAAACCATACGATTCGTAATGCCAGGAATGTTTTTTGGATTACAGAAATCGCGACTCCACAATTGCACCTGCGCAAACTTCAGCTTATTTGGCAATTGCAATTGCATATTGACGGCGCCAAAGCCACTTATTGTGGCTAAAGTATCGGCAGGATAATTTGACTCACTGCTCGCCAGTTCAATGGTTTGTATGTTGCCACCTAATGGCACGGCTGATTTCAGTTTGATCAGCGCAATGTCATAGTCTTGTGTTTCGGGATTGTATTGTGAATGTCGCACTATGTCTGCAATCTCAAAAGCCTTGCCATCGCCTGCCAACAGATCTGCAGTACCTGCAACAACTCGCATTTTTGTGGGGCTTTGGCCCATGACACAATGTGCTGCTGTTATCACAACCATATCCGAAATCAATGAACCACCACAATGGTGGCGTTGATTTAGCTGCAACGATATTTGATATGGAAATTGTCCTGACTGTGCGTACTGGCCACCAATGATACGTGATCCGCAGGATATCTGACCAATTGCCAGAATGAGCAATAAGATTGGAAACATTTTTTGTTTGAACTTAGAATTGGTTAATCCTCCAAAGAAAAAGTTGATTTGTTAACTGAAGCAATTTTTGGTATGAATTTCTCGACTCGCACTTGGCTTTATATACGGTGTGTGAGGCAGCCGTTAGGCCTTATCACACGTATCTAACGCAAGTTCTAGGCTAACGACTTGCTGACCCTGTTAGTTTTGGTTTATGGGTGCTTGCGATGGCGTTTGTTATCTGCGAGAAAAAGTAGACTGAAACCTCCTCTTTTCGCAAAAGATTCACGCTGTGCTCAGCGCTTATCGTACCGCTTTGTTTACCTACTTGCTTACCTGTGCGGATTTTACTTGAATTGGCTCAAGTCGACACGCGTTATTGACCCGATTTATGTGCAAATTCCTCTTCACGAAAACATTGAGAAAGTGTTTAAGTGTTGAACAATAAAACGGTTTTATTTTCAGTTAAGACGATAACAACTTTTATTTGAACTAACAAATTTAGAATTTATATGTTTCGTTGGTTTTTTATTCTGTTCTGTACACTATCTGTAAACTATTTGGACATCCCATACTCTGCGCCTGATTTCCTTTATTTTATTGTTTTCTTCTGAATTCAAATTCCAATGGCCATTACTGATTACCCAGACATTTCGCCACGGATTTCTCAAATGGTGGCTCTGACAGGCAACAAGATATTCCTTAAATAAATGGTAATACTTATCAAAACAGTAGAAGAATTAATAATATCTATATTTATGATTTTTTTAATTTAATACTGGTATGTTTAAATACTCGAAAAAATTCTGCAAAATCATGTAAACCTAAAAATTATAAATCGAAGGTGACACACAGAACACTCCATAAAAATAAAACAACTGATTGCATACTTGATCTTACGCATTTCTCGTATTCTAACTAAATTGCCATACTAACTAATAGACATGATTTACTCTATCTACTCTATCATTGCCCGACACTTGACAGAAGTTGTCTATTCACAATATGTCTTCACATTCCTAAATTTCTATCTGGCACTTCATGTGGAGAAAATGGAAATATGTTCATTCAAAATCTTGCAATTATTTGCCGTAAGACTTTACGACTTCTCTGTGATATTACAATACGATGACGAGATGAGCTGAAAGTAGCATATATCTAGTGTCAGTGACGTGTTCAAGAGGTGAGATTTCAGTGGTTAGAGCCGCTCTTTACAATATAATCTGTAGATAACACACTGCCAAAAAATATATAGTATAAAGTATATAGTAGAATCTCTTTCCACTTGGTACAATACTGGTAACGCTACTGCCTATTATCTCTTCCTACAAAGGAAGAGAGAAACACTGTTCCTACAAGAGAAGTCTACTTTCTTACAGCCAACGTCAACTTTCTTACAAATCGATACCTTAACTTATAGAAAGTCCAATATTTGAGTGGTCGTTTAAAAATTCAATATAAAATATAAAATCGACAGAATAACAGTTAAGGGTTTCAGCTATTGTCATATGGGTATGGACCGAATTACACAAAACGGAAAAAGTTTCTTAATCCTCAATTTTTGACCACTTGGCAGAATCTATTTGTATTCTTCAGTTCAACATATATTATTCTTATTTACTATATACTTCCTCTTTACTTACAGCTTGGCCAAAATTAAAAACTTTTTCACAATCTGCCGCCAAATTATGGTTTGATGCGACGTGAGTTATAAGCAACGGCTCAATACACTAAAATAATAGAAAATATATAAGTATTTCATGAAGAGAATGGCGTTTATAAGAAATGTACTGGAATTGGTGTTGTACGGCTCTGCAAACGAAACTCAGGGTCAGCAAGACGGCAATAGAAGTTAAGGTGCGCACTTATAACAGCTTCACCACTTCCGATATTCTGAAAATAATATATTAAGTCATCTAATAAATTACCTTGGATTATTGTTACTTTTCGATGTAATTATTTACCTTGGCAAAACGTACACCCAGTGGCAAACTAGCTTCGCCTCTTTTGTATGATAAATAGGGAGTATTTGATAATATTTGCAGGTCAATTCTTTTAGGTGCAGAATACAAAAACATTCTTTCAGTTGGATGCAAAACTTCCAAGCGAAAGTGTTGCTCGTAAAATAATGGCTCTCCATCGTGATTTTCGTCGTCCACACTTATAACACGGAACGAGTTCCGAATAGTGGGCTTCTGACAGAACATAATTCGCATTTCACATAGTTCGTTAATAACATCACCTGATGTCAAAGCATCTGCTGATACCGCTATAGAAAGAGCGCCCGATTTTTTTGTACCAAACGCTTCATTGTATAGCATGTAGTATGGCAATAATTGTATAACTGAGCCAAAAGTTATGTAATTTTGTGTTTTGTCCGGTGTTATCTCTTTATTTAAAACTGCATTAAAACGATTCAATCTGTCTGTTAAGGAAACCTTGTTCTTCTTCATGCTTTCAATGCGGTTTCTCTCTTCCTACATAGAGTTTGGAATGGAAGAATAATGACATTTTAAATATCGTACGTAGCGCAACTTACCTCTTCAGCACATTGGGTCTCACGCCAATTACCGATGAGAACATTACTGTTATATACATTTGTCATTTTTTGCAGTTGGTTTACAATCGATGCAAGTAAAAGAATATGCAATATGTAAAAAATTAGTCAATTTTGTAAAATATTAGATGAAAGACAAAATATATCATCGGAAGCAATTTCAAATTCTTCAAATTAAATTCCTGATAAAAAAAACAATTTTTCTTCAGTATGAAAATTTTTTCAAAGCACTTTAAACTTTTATTTTAAATATAATTTTAAGAGTAACTATTGTTCAGTAAAATAAATATGAAGTTATTCACAGAACCAGTTCATAAGTCCACAATAAACGGAGATTTTATCGACTTAGGGGATTATAAAACCCTTAAGTCAGTTTAATAAATAGAATTGCATTCAATTAACTTCACCTTCTAATAATCGAACTTACTATATCATCCCATCCAAGCGCTTACTGAATTGAATTCCAACTTTTGAAAACGCTGTTTATAGTATTTTATATTAAAAAAGTGTTGGAAAATAACACAATTATTTAAATTTGTTACGAATTTCCAATATGTCCGCCTTTAGTACGAAATGTGGGTCTGAGCTGTTTTACAAACAATTCGAACGCTTCCAAAATTTTTAATGTATGGAATCTTCACACATTCTAGTGAAATTTTTTAATGTTGGCTTAGAAATCGAGGGTCTCTACCTTACCGAGAAATTGTGCGAATTTCCATTGCTCTGTGTGAAAGTTATTTTACTAACATATATGCTTAATATTAGTAAATGTTTGGTCTGTTAGGTACCTAAAAAAAATAAATGGCATAGGAAATTCTTGTCTTAAGAGTGATTTGCTACAGATGAATGTATTTTTAAAACTAGAATTATATATTTTTATGTCAAACAGTTCTGCTCTACGGCTGCGAAACCTGGTTTACCACCAACAACCTGATTCATAAACTGCAAACTTTTATAAACAAATGCCTTAGGAGAATTCTGAAAATTTGGTGGCCCCGCACTATTAGAAATTTCGAACTATGGTCAAGATGCCGCCAACTTCCTATAGCAAACGAAATCAAAAAGCGTAAATGGCAATGAATCGGGCACACTTTGAGGAAGGCACCAAATGAAATCTTGAAACAAGCATTAACATGGAATTCTCAAGGAAGCAGAAGACCTGGTAGGCCCAAGCAAACGTGGAAGCGAACACTGGAGAAAGAAATCCAAGCAAGCGGAAAAACCTTTGGAGAAATTAAAACCCTGGCAAAAAATCGTGACAGTTGGAAAAAGTTCGTTATGGCCCAATGTTCCCCTGGGAACGTACTGGATTGATTGATTGATTGATGTCAAACAGTCGACCTCAAATAAAAAATTTCAGTTACGAACAATCTGTCTGATGGTACAATCTGTCAGTACGGCACTGAATTTATCTAACTATATTATCGAGAAAATAAATGTATTATAAACTTTACTGCTTTTTATCTAATAAGATGTGCTAACTATTTTACCTACTTGTTCTTAGGATCTTATCTGTACACTTTCATTAACATCTACATTTTTATATTGTAGGTACTTTTGGAATAAAGGAAAATTCTTATCGGACATCGGGGTATTAAATGATTGCATGAGTTTCATCCATAAATTGCTATCACAGTAATGAGATAAAGAGGAGCTCGAATTGCGTTGATTGTTTGAAATCATTTCTAATTGGAAATTATTTTATAGGTAAAATAAAAAATTATTTGTTTGGAAAGCTATACAAAATAATCCAGATACTTTATCAGAGCAATAATGATTTGCAACTTTTATAGCACAAAATAAACACAGTAATTGCTATGCAAATTGCACAATATTTACAGGAGACGGCGGTGCAGCAAAACCTTTCCGATCCCACCTATTAGCAAATGCAACGTGCCATAGTAATGTTAAAGTAAGAACTCATAAAAAATTCTAAAAAATATTTATAGTTTTATTACATCAATCAAAACAATCTTCTTGCAGAGATCTTATCGTGCCTTCAATCGAAATCACAACACCTACCTCTGATCCACTCCGCCACTCCACCACTCCGCCACTAGAGTATTTGTGTAAGAATTCTTGATAGTATAAAGCGTCTGTTTATAGCAGTCATAACGTGTTACCGCTTTTGTTACTAATTTATTTATAAACTATAAACATAGTTATATACACATATATACATTTTTGCAAACAGCACACCAACGCTCAACGCTCAACGCACCTCTCAACTCATAATTCGTAGCCCAGAAATATGGAGGCGCGTTGTGGACATTCACGTGAACACAATTCCATCGCGATTTCGCGCTCGCCTGAAAATCACGTTCGTTATCAGCGCGCTCGCGTGCTTCGCTCGCTGATATCTTTCAGACCTGCAAAGTGCAAACTTAGAGGCACTTTTCGACATTATTTTCGTATTATTGACAAATTCATTAACTTTTATCAGATTGATGTGTTGTTTTCCAGATTTTATACAATATTTGATAAACAAGAATTTTATCAATAAAAATATTTTGTAGGAGTTTTTGTCGTTGGAGATTGTGCACTGGATATGACTGTGTCGTCTGACGTTGTGTTTATCATTTCACACTTTGGAAAATTTTGAATTATTTTATTGCCCACAACATCTACACCACAGCTTTTAGATATTTTATATTACCGGTTTGAATGATTAACTTTCGAAAGTCACATGATGAAAGTGTTGTGAAGTTTATTATAGGCCTCTATCGGCAAAATATCTAAATACACAACTCTTTATTAAGCTATATACATAAAATCGAATAGGTACAAATTTATTTTATAGTTTGTGGACTTAACACATCAACTACAAGTCGTCGATAGCTCAAACTTAATTCTTAGCTCTCAGACTTATATGAAAACAATCTATAACTAAGCAGTAACTTCCTCAGCCAACCTAATCAATGGACTGCTGTTGACAGCTGATAGTACCGAGCGCATTTATATTTTTAGCAATCCGGTCTTTCTTTCACACTCTTTCTCTTTCTCTTTCTCTCTCTCTCTTTCTCTCTCTCGGATTACTGAGAAACGGCAATGAGATTGGGTTAAGTAAATTACACGTGTCTTGACATAATCTCTAGCCCCCACAGTTATAAATAGAAAAACCAAACAAAATAATCTGAATAGAACTTTTTCAATGTTTTAACGTCCATAACACTCAATTGATATATCGGATAACATTTTCACATTTTCAAAATAATATTAATGCGTAAGCGAAACTAAAAATCACAAACAGTGAATTACTTCACAGCAAATCAATTTGGTCAATTGGCATAATAAATTTCATTTATCAGTAAACTTGACCGATAAAATCTTCGACAATACGAGTACGAGCCCGAGTCCAAATTATACGACTACTTAGTGGTCCCAATTATAAAAGGCCTAACATATTTTCATTAAAATGTCTGACTTTGGCCAGCTAATATAAATTGAAGATAAGCTAAAAAATTTATCTACAACTACTGAATTTGTAAGCTTATAAATCTAATTTGCTGACAATATTACTTATTAATTCTTTTAATGTTTACACATGCAACCAAACTCTAAACGTATATGTATATCATCTATAAATATTTTAAACCGAACTAAAGTTTAGCATTAATATATCGCTTAATGATTATTACCAGTATTTTAAATAATTTTTATTGCTGCTATGTAATTATATAGAAATAAAGACTTTCCGGATTAATTTTATACGCTATTCTTATTTATATGCTTAAGTATTTAATGTTAATATATTGTGTGTTCAGAAACCAGCTGAGCAATAAATATGGATGCAAGCAATCTTCTTAAGCAATCTTCTTATCATTTCCGCAAAATTTATAAACAGAGATACGGCTAGTATGTGTGGAAATCTACGAAAGAGAAGTTATCTTAATCCCTGGTATTACAATAAATTCCAAAAATTGACAAGGCGTACAGATGTCACTGGCGTACTTGATGGTATTTCCTTGAAGTCATAAAGACCTCATATCATAAAGACCTCACTGAATATTCTTTCAGTTTAATACGAAGTTATTTCTATAGAAATGATTTTACTTATATTATTATTTTCGTTATGACTTAGGAATAAATAAATTTTTTTCCACGTATATATATATTTAAACTAAAGACCTAAAACTAGTCACACCATTTATTTTAAAATGTAAAAGATTTAACTCATTAGTCAAGCGATCTAATAGTACACTAAAATATACTAACGCATTTATGTCATAATTAATAAGATTAGTTAAGATATAAATTGTGGTAAAAGCCCATTAATTGTTAATAGAGTGTAATTATAACACTAGATTTACTTTAACTTGAACGCAGGGTTCTACTTGAGTACTGTATAGAAAAAGTAATGAGTGAAATTGAAACCGGTGTTTATAACAGTTACCACAGAGATTAATCCACATTTTATATTGAAGTGTTATACGGTTTTTGAGACGATCATAAAGGTGATTTAATCAGATCATATAAATATAGTAATATATAGTACCATTATTATCAATACAGTGTAGTACTACTATTACTACTATTAATTAAGTATATTGGTAAACAGGTCTTTCATCTTCTTTTTAATGGTCTGTAGTTTTATGTACAACATATATGGATGTAGGAGGAAACCACATACTCATTGTGGCCTCTTCCCTGAGAATATTAAGTAATATTATATGGACTCTTATCAGACAAATCCGGGAAACCCCTATTGTGGTCGATAACGACCGAAAGTTATTTAATTATGCATTAAGACAGCATAGAAGATGACTTAAGCATGATTTAAGTCAGTGTTTTGACTGAAGATACAGTTTTGAAATCGGCGCTTCATATATTATTACAAACTGAAGTGATCAAAGCCAGTTCGAACAAAACATGAATTATATGGAGTAACTGGAGTAGCTATATATATATAATATTGCAAAAATTATTTCTTGATTCTTCTTCTTGAATTCGTGCTATTACGCACTTTTACTCTATAATGGCTACTTTTAGTATTAAAAAGTGCTTGTTGTACATTTGATTCATTGAAATATCACATTTAATTTGCAAATCATAGTAAGTCTTATATATCTTATATCAGTGATCTTTTCATAAAAATTTTCATAAAAAAAATTATAGTGTTTTTGAGATGTTTATTGAGTGAATCTGAACAAATTGAATCGTAAAACGTTTTGTAAATAACTTTTGACAAATAAAATAGTTAATTGGGATGATAAGCGTGTTCAGTGACAAGATCTCTACGTCATTTTGTAAATTGATAATCTCTACGTAGTTTATATAGGCTTAAGGCTTATCGCTCATTCGATAGATAAAATAATAAAAATGAAATTTATGCTAAATAAAAACTGCTCAAATTTTTGTTACTGACGTATTGATACCTACTAAATCCACTACTTATACTATGCAATGCTCATGGCATACTCATAACACTCGTAAATCTGACTAGTTAGTCTTTATTTTGAGATAAATAGTATATCAGATATAGCATATATTGCATGACTAAAAGTTAGATTTTATGAAAAGCACAGAAAATACGAAGTAGTCTTCCAACTAAGGGGAATCTAATATTGAAAGTTAGTTTTATATATAGTACACTCCCCATTTTTTTGCGTAGCAGGAGGAACAAACGTAATTATTTAAGTATAGTTATCCACATATTAAAAATATATATAATATAATAAAATTATTAAATTCTATACATATTACAATAATGTATGTATATCAGAGCACATTTACATATCTCTGTAAATGATCGCATAAACCCAGTTTGTCTTATTAATTGGTTTTAGTCAAAATAATAGAACGCATTTTTTAATCACAATTATAATCAAAATTATATACTTAAGCACTTGAAATTTTAATTAAGTTGCTTTATTGATATTTTTATGATTAATAATAACGTCACTTAGGGGGCAAATACACCACAAATATTTGTCGAAATTTTAGGTAAATTAAATCTGATAAATTCTTAAATTTTTTAAATTAAAAACTCTTAATTAGCAGACGAGAATGATATTATTTTCATAATTATTAATATCATAATTAAAAAAATAATTATTTTTAAATTGATAACAAAAGGTTTTCAAATAGATAAATTACACAATGCACTTGACAATTATTGGCTATTAAATATAATAATTTTGAAATAGCGTAACTGAAACTTATTCACTTGAATTTGATTAAAAGATATGGGATTTCATAGAATTAGCTAGCTTTCGCAATGGTGAATGAGAATTGTACTCGAAGATTAGTGATTGATTGACAGGTTCCACTTGTGTAAAAGTCACATTATACCTCTATACTTGTAAATGATAACAGAAGTCATTACACTTATACAAACATTAAGAATATACATTCCATACAATACACTAAGACCTACTATGATTAGCATAGTAGTACATAGTAGAAAACAATGTACATAGGTATATGCAGAAGTACCCATATATTAATAATCTCTGGTACCATTCACTATATTGATGACGTATTTACGCCTTTTACGAAAGCAAAAACAGTGTTGTCGGTGCTTTTATCGGTGTTTATTCGAATGAGTAAAACCCAAATCTCTGAAATCGATTGGTTACTTCAGAAGCTTATCGTGTGAAGACAAGTATCAGTACTAGTATTACAATACCCATAGTGTTTACGATTAATCAGCGAGCAGATTGCATATATCGTATGAAGTGGTCAGATTTCTCACTGCGTATATAACATGGAACGATGGGATTAAGGTTCTCAAGTTATTTGCGTAATTGTGTGCGTAGGAATTACTTTAAAAATTTTCCATTTCTTGATTTTAACTGATTTATATCATATCTATTACTGATATGTTACTCTGTTATGGTCAAACTATAAAAGACTTCTTAATATTTCTTCATGAAATACGTGTCATCAATAGCTTATGCACTTGTAATTTCACATGAAATTGTAATTTGGTCAGGGACGCAATAATCGGTAAGTTATTGCCCGTATCTATTTATGAGCAATTGTTGGAATGTTGTCGTATCTGTGAAGATAGGAGTTGAGTAAAAAATGTGGAATATTACGATAATTGATTATTGTTTTTTCTTGAACTTAATTAGCAGCTTTGTTTGAAGTTTATTATGAATTTTAACACATTTTTTTGTTTTGTTTATTAATATCTAATTAAGTTTATTTTGAATTTTTTTTTAAAGAATTTTATATACCCTAATAGCAACTTGTATTTCAAATATCAAAGTTTTATTTGGACTGAATGGAATTAACATCTACAAAATACCCTTTATATCCAAAAGATAAGATATATGTATTCAGAATACACATAATTCTGAAAATAGCGAGAGGAAAGTAAAACTATTCTGGAAAAACCCAAATAACTTAATATTTTTAATAGGTAAAGAAACTATGTGTACTTAGATGAGAGGTGTTTGACCCTTGTTATTCGACATATCTTCTTTTTAGCACATTTACTTTTTTACTGAATTTATTAAAGCAGTCTCAACTTTGATAAGAATTTTTGCCCATGACAAACCTCCCACTTTAGAGTCCGGTCAGGTATACAAAAAGGGATGATCTATCACTTCGAATCGCAAACAATGAATTTTCACTATGGCAACTACAAAAATGTGGGTATATTACCTTTGGGAACTTCTACAATTCTTCTGCAAATGGGAACCTTTCTCAGCAGCTAAAACATGCAATTTATAAATTGTTATGTACCTAATTTATACGCAATCGAACAACTATTAGGAATAGTTCCATCTAACATATACACATATATGGTATATCAAGATTAAGCACATATACAATTTTGGTAGTGACTACTTTGTCGGTTTATTCTTTTCAATGGTTTTCATTATATTTTAATCGAAAAAACTAATACAAATAAATTCCAAAATAATCATAAATCACGTGAGTTTTACTACATGTTTTTGTTAGTTGACTTCAAAGAAAGAGTTTAGCTGTTAATTATAAATTAAATTCGATCTTATCTAAACCCATTCATAAATAAGTCAATTTTATAGTAAATATACTCATTGTTTCCTATTGAACGCTATATATATAGATGAAAGTGTTAGAGCACGCTCCATTAATCTTTACAACACTTAATCTACAAGGTAAATCCACTTATGGCAGTAGCAACAATCAAAAATATTGACACAGCCAATCTTATAAAACTGAAGTCATAAAGATTTTACCAATAACCTTTAGCTCAAATCAATTGATTACTTGATTACTTGGATTGGTGAAGATAAAATCAGTTTGATTTGTCGATTGACTGACAGAAAATAAAGTTTATTTTCAAAAGAAATTTAGAATAACTTCTCAAATTAAATTCTTTTCTATTTAAGCGCATTTGCAATGTACCAGGAAAGAATTTATAAACTATGTATGTATTTCAGAAAATTATAAAAACCAAGTGTTGACTTAATTGAATTTTTGTTTACAATTTTCAAAGAACATATGTTACGACTATAATGTCATATAAAAAACCTAAACAGTTTTACATTAGTTTATTCACTAATTGGAAAATAATTAACAAAATTAAAACGTTATATATAATCAAGTTTAAAATATTTAGTTACTTTGAGCTACTTTGAGCAATTTTGAGCTGTTTTGAGCAACTTTTTCTATCATCAGTTTATAACCTTCATACATATAAATTCCGTAATTAAGTAATTCTAAGATTATTTAATAATTATGACTTCTTCATTAGTCGACTTAATTTTGCATCACGTTTGACTTTAATTATGTATCATTAATTACACCGAAAATTAACACATTTTCGTATTAAGAAATGATGAAGTAAAACAAATGCGATAGTGTTTTCAGCTGGCATTTTAAATATTTAGATTCATTGACTGAAAGAGTCATTAAGAGGCGTTCGCATTCACTAAGATTAGTAATGCAATCTTATCAAGCCATTTGCAATTTTTAGAAAAACCAAACAACTTTTTATGGCTCCAGAAATAAAGTAATTTATTACCTGTAGACTGCTCTTTATTATTTTAGAAAAATTATGTGATGCATATATGTAGGTATATAATAGCTATAAGTACTTGTCAGATGATTATTTTTGAATAAATACAACCACTTTAGATTGATGACTCATCACAGGTATTTATAAAATCTTATATTTATACTGTACATGAGATGATAGATACAAAGAAGCACATAATCATATTAATAACTATTTCTTTCTGTTAAATGAGTATTAGAATCCTTTTTAGCTTGAGGTTAATTCAAGCATTCACTCAGTCAGAATCCATTCCTATACTTGTTATTCTCATCTTATTCATTGTGCATACACATACAACAAAAATGACAGTTCGTATGTGTTAGGTAAATGAAAATAGCAAAGACAAAGTGCCAGCACACAATAGACTCTCAATTCCAAACATATAATTCATCATTTCACACATATTTCAATAACTTCGTGTTTCCTATCTCACAGTAGTACATGTAATAAATGCCTAACATTTCACCATTGAATGATCATGTGTTCTTATGATCACTTATGAATTCCTCCAATTCCTTGGCGTATTTAATTCTTATTATCTTTTTATTTGGCCATTACAGATGGGAGTCGTTCATGACCGCGTTCAGTAGCTTTCACTAGCTAACCCAACCAGTGGCTTGTTGTTGATACTTGGTAGTACTGAGTGCCTTCATATCGTTGGTTACCTCATCCTGCATGGAAGATGGAAATATCCTCTATCACGTTTTCTATTAGTGGATACTGAAATGCTGCAGCACTTTTTTCCATTTACCATTTTTCCATAAACTGCTGATTTAATAGTAAAATAAATTGTAGTAAAATAAGTTAGAATACCGATAATGTAGTTTAATAGTTTTAAA